GCAGTTGATTGTTAATGTCTAGGTAGAGCTGATGACAGTCTCACCCATACATCCTCAGATACATCCCTACAGCATGTGTGTGACCAAGATGCCTCAGTCTCCTAGAGCTGGGTTTTCCTCGTTTGCGAGAGAGCAGCTGTATTGAGTATCTTGCTACCTGCTCCTGGCTGGTGCCTGGTTGGTCTCTTCTCAGCTGTCACTGCCCTGCTCCTCTTCAGAGAGAGCTCCTGCTTCTGCCCTCTCTGCAAGGGGGCATGCTTCTCCAGTGGGCCTACACCTCGGTCTGGATGCAGTTGTGTCTTTGCAGTGGTGCCCCAGGTCCCTCCATGGCTCATGGGCAGAATGTGGAATACAAACAAGGTGCCCTGAGTCCCTTTGCAGGGTTGCACCCAGGCTCTGCCTCAGTGCATCAGGAAATGGTCTTAACCCTGGAGGACATCATCCCACCATGCAATACAGCAGCACTGAGGCAGAGCCTGGGTGCAACCCTGCAAAGGGACTCAGGGCACCTTGTTTGTATTCCACATTCTGCCCATGAGCCATGGAGGGACCTGGGGCACCACTGCAAAGACACAACTGCATCCAGACCGAGGTGTAGGCCCACTGGAGAAGCATGCCCCCTTGCAGAGAGGGCAGAAGCAGGAGCTCTCTCTGAAGAGGAGCAGGGCAGTGACAGCTGAGAAGAGACCAACCAGGCACCAGCCAGGAGCAGGTAGCAAGATACTCAATACAGCTGCTCTCTCGCAAACGAGGAAAACCCAGCTCTAGGAGACTGAGGCATCTTGGTCACACACATGCTGTAGGGATGTATCTGAGGATGTATGGGTGAGACTGTCATCAGCTCTACCTAGACATTAACAATCAACTGCAGCTACCCCTGCATTTCACCTCAGGAGCCCCACTCTGTATCTGCAAATAACTGCTTATTCATTTGCATGGTGGTTGTACTGTGGACTTCCCCTGACCCCCTATAACTCCCCAGCCCTTGCCTAACCCATCTCTCAGTGCCCAGTCTGTATCCAGCTCCATGCCAAACGGCACTTGTGTTTAAGGCAACCAAGCGCTGCAGGGGAAGGTGGTTCTGAGTAGACATCAAGACCCACTGTCCAATATCTCACACGTTTCTGAAATGCAACAGCTTTGGAGGCCTTTTAACAAGAGACTTCTGCTGCCTTATCTCTGTTAGGAAATCCCCTGCTAGCAGCTGCTTTCTTCCCTTCCAGTTTAAGTCTGAATGCATGGAGCTGGAGAGCAAAGAAAGAGAAAGGGCTTGTGTCTGCAAGCTGCTCTTTCTCCAGAATCCAGAGCAACTTCAGGTCTGTCCTAGAAGGTGCACAATGATGGATCCCGATCTGGACCTAGACACAATGGATCTGGAAAAGAGCTCCAACGTAGAACGGAAGCCTCCTTCCTGCTCTTTGATTATTACAGGGCTCATGCTGCAGGAAGCTGGGCCCTCCCAGGGACAAAGCACGGGCTGAGAGTCAGGAGATTATGTCCAGCTCTGTTACAGTCTCACTGTTTAATCTGAAGCTAGTCCTGAACTTTCTGATCTTTTTGAAAAAAACAAAACAAAACAGATTTCCTCTTCTTACCTACCCTGGTAAAATGCTCTGATGTCTACCAGATGCTATGGCAGGGTGTCTAGGATGGCAAACCAGGTCTCATGAGATGTGATTTCCTCTCATAGCTCTGTCTCTCTTGCACTGGCAGACCCTGGGCAGGCCTCACCCCTGCTGTGCCTCAGTTTCCCTAGCTGTACAATGGGGATGATGATGCTGACCCTGCTGCATAAAGCCCCTGGAGATTTACTGATGAAAGCTGACAGACACAAGCTGGCACTACTATGATGATAGGGGAGTAATATTCAAAGCTCTGACAGCTGTCTGGAAACCTACTTAGAGAGAACAGCACTCACCTAGGCATTGACCTGCATGCCGTATCAGGCTGCCGTTGGCTCTGCAGTCCTGATGCAATGGATTTGGGTGGGTCAGACTCAGCCCTTGGGCTTTAAAGGCTGGCCCCATGCCACTGAGATGCACTTTTCCCTGATGAGAATTCAGACCTGCAATTCCTGGCCTGATGCACAAGGAGGCAGTGGCTGTACATTTTATCCCTATTATCTCCTTTCATCTCTGCTGGGGAGACCCAGTTACTTAGCTATACATTTAGCAAGCGAGCTGGGGACAGGGCACAACACTGGGGCAGGAAGTGGGGTGAGCGGTGAGGGTGAACAAACAAAGAGATTTCCTGTAAACACCGGGCTGGAGGTGGTACCCACGAGTATGCAGCCTTCCTCTCTGGGGCAGGAGAGCTAGCTCAGAAGATTAGGTCAATCCATGGAACTGACTCCAGAGGACCAGAGGTAAGAGCAGAGAGATGCACTCTGCTGCATCATTTTGCCTGTGGGCAAGCAGATGTGCTGTCATGCACATGTCAATGAGTCACCAGCAAGGGAGACCAAACACCAGGACCTCTACATCTGAATTCATTCAATACTGCTTGTGCTACAGGGTGAGGCAGCAACACTCAGGTCTCTAGAGACAGCCTCTCTCCCAGGTGTTTGAGAACTCCACTCACATGGCACCAGAGCAGTGCCCCCGTGCCTGCCTTGTGCACAAGGGGCACAGGGGCTGCTCAGAGCCACAAGCCATCTCCCAAAGCAGAGCTGAGGCCATACCATGTTCAGGAGCTCCTGGAGCAGCGTTCTGGTGGGCTGGCTCTGGCTCTTCAGGACTTCGTAGAGGTGGGAATAGCCGATCCTTTCCTTAAACACTTCCTGGAAGCAACAGGGATGTCCATATAAGTACATACCACAATGTTACCCACGGGGCAGCCAGAGCAAAACAACAGGAGTGAAAAACAGGGATTGAGAATGAAGCCGAATGTGGGAGAGACTAAGGAATCATGTGGCCCCAGCCTGGACACTTCCCAATGGTGGTAACATAGGAATACCCAAACTAGCTCTCTGGGACATTTGCTGCACTTGGACACTAAAGAGCAAATGACAGACACAGATGCTCCCCAGGAGAAAGCTTCAGAGCTAGGACCACAGGGAGGGAGGAATCCAGGAAAATCCAGCAGGACCTCAGTTTCATTTAAAGCAGTGGAGCATCTAATAGAAGTGGTTCAAGAGGAACAAGCTGTAGTCAGCAGGTGATTAAAGCCAGTATCTGTGATCATGGCAGGGAAGGGGTAAAAACTGACAGCAAAGCCAGAGACAGGAGCAGATGCTTTTGTTCCAGCTTTCACTGGGAGGAAGGTTTGCTGGTTTCACTTTCTACCCAGCTTCTCTACAAGAGGCACCTTGTGTCAAAGAGGTCATGTTGCATAGGGGTTAAGCCCAAAAACAGTCTAGGCCTTGCCACCGTGACTTGCTAGGGGACGGACCAGGCATTTTTGGCATCCAGTAAAGTTATGAATTTATGGGAACAACGTTCATAACTTTACTGACTGCTAAACACCCTGGTCAATGTTTTCATGACTCAGTATAATCTAACTGCGGTCCCTTCTAACCTCTCCGTACTCCATAGGTAATACCAATCCTCTCCCCTTCTGAACAGCTTTGTTCTTTTACATACTTGGGTTATCTGTTCAACTGAACTCCTCTCGCTTCGATGCTACTTCTGTTAGCTTTTCTTTGCTCCTAGCTTATAGCCCTCCACCACTCCCTTTCTTTCACATATGGAGTTAACATGCCATTGTTTTATCTGGTATTTATCTTAGGCTTTACTTTTGCCTTTTCCTTTGTGCACAAAAGCTTGTCAAACATCTCTCTCCACTATACAGTTGGGCCAATGAAAGGCAGCACCAAGAAAACCTTTGCTTCTTCACTGCTGAAGCATTTCATAAGGGGACAAATGTCATGTGTCACATCTCACCCTCCTATTGCTCTGTGCTGGAGGAGTTGGGGGTTCCCCATTCTTACCTTGGCTGAGGGTGAATTGCTCATGATGGAGGTGAGCACTCCAATGGCATGGACCACGATGGCATCAGAGCTGCTACTGAAGACCTGAAGACATGGGAGAAGGTGAGAGATGATCATGTGACTACTATGGGATAACAACCTGAGATCTGCCTCCATTTTCCACAGCTCCTTCCGCAGGCTCATGCAACCAACTTTCTGCAGAACCAGTCAGGCCCAGATTGCAGCTCTGAACCAGAATGTTTCAGAGAAGATCATGAGCAAGGAAGAGCTTCCATGGAGTGCATTTTGGCTTGAACAAGCTGACAACTACAGGGCTCTTCTTTGAGTTTGTCCTTCGAGCTCAGACCCTCTTACCCTTTCACGGACTGCTGATCCTGAACAAGCCACATGATAGTGCTGAGGAGGTCTTCCTGAAGCTTCTAGCACCAATACTGTGTGGTCCCTTTATCTATCTATGCTTGAACAATCTGGCATGAACCAAGGTGGAGGAGAAAAAAGCTCTTGAATTTTCACTGCAGGACAGAAGTGACTGGCTATTTCTGCTAGGAAGTGGGGAGACCAGATCACGGAGCCCATTTTAGTCCTTTCTAGGAGGATTATTCTTCAGAAGGGCAATTCCCCTAGTCACAGTGGCTCCCTGAACTGCACAGTAGGTGGTTGATACAGCAAGGGATTGTTTTGTTGAATGCATGAGTAAAGCCACTGGTCAACTGAGCATCCCAAGGGTTCCTTCTCTGGGGAGCAGGAACACCAGTGTACAGACAGAGACTGGTTTTCACAGCCCCACAGACAACAGCACCAAGCTGAGACAACAGGAGGCATCTCTGCTCATGAGGGTGTTAGGACTTGGAGAGAAGTAAGTGGACAAGTACAAGTGACCCACCACCTTCTGAAGATGGAAGAGTTCCTACCAAAGCACACCCCTGATAAGAAAACCAGGAGAAAGGCCAAGGGACATGGCCTCACTGAGGATCTCATGCCTCCTACACATCTCCCTTACCATCTGAGCTGGCTCACTCCTCCCCAACACAAACCCATCCTATGGACCTCAGAACGCTTTAATTCTGCTCCCCCCCAAGTGCAGGTCTGCAGAGTGGGCCAAAGCCCCCCGAGACTCCTCGGTGCAAATGGATCAATGGGAGCATGGGCAGAGCAAATAGCAACCATTCCCTTCCCTCCAGTCTGCAAAAAGACCTAAAGCCAGGGAAGAGAGTGAGAGATGATCATGTGGCTACCACAGGTCAACTGAAGGCCCCTGAGCTGACAACTCATAGATTCATAGATTTAGGGTCAGAAGGGACCTAGTAGATCTTCTAGCCCGACCCCCCGCCAGGGCGGGAGAACAACAAAACCCCAAAACTCATGATCCTCCCATGTTTTTTTTACAACCTCATGTCAGCAGCCCTCTGCCAAAACAAGTCAGACTCAGGTGAAGTCAGGTGAAGACGGAAGGAGAGAGTGAGGCGAGCATCAGTTCACTCCTGTGCTGGTGAGCCATGCACACTCAGCAAAGGTTTCCCAAGAGCGTCTACCCCACCCCACCCTGCCACAGATGGCTCATCACATTCCACACGCAAAGCCACGCGACCCGTGCCCAAGATGCGCATGCAAGTTGCAAACCGCGGTGGGTCGGGAGACAGCACAGAACACCAAGCTTTGCCGCAAACACGATGGGGAGCCCCAAGGGAGGGAGCGGGAAGGTCTGCACATCCCTTGGCTTGCAGAGGTTTATGGTAGCATGTAATTAAATGGTATTGTGAGCCACCAGCTGTTAATACCTCTCAGCTGTTCCATTTGGCTGCTCGTGCCTGCCTTTGTTAAGAGATTATCTTTGCTCCTTTTCTCCAGAGGGGGAGAGTCTAAGTGGCTCCTTCAGGATCTTGAAGTGTGATGGAAAGAGGCAGCAAGGAGGTGCCAGAAAGCCTGGTTTGCTGGCTGTCTCAGTGGAGAGGCTGGCTTCTCAAAGCATTGCCGGTTCCCTAGCTACTGAGCTGCTAGGGCCTGGGGAAATCAGTAATACTGTCATGGAGCAAGACCAAATCTCCCAGCGAGGGGCTGGGGCTCAACTTACTGCTAGAGAACACAACCATTTTAAAGCCTAGTCACAAAGGCTGGGAGAGCTTGGCTATAGACCGGGGGAGCCATTTGTGAGAATTACTCCGGACCATTAGCACAGAGGGAGACCCTCATGGCTCAATAGGCCAGCTGCAGAATCAGCCCATTGTGGGGTCAGATCCTCAGCTGGGCTCAATCACCAGGGCTTCGCTGATGTCGACAGAGCTGAGCCCACTTCCACAAGCTGAAGGACTGACTTATGCTCTGCATTATTACTCCTGAATAGAGGTGCCCCTTATGCATGGACTGCAAGGCTCTCATGGGAAGAAAGGACAGAGCAGTCCTCTCCAGAAAACAAAGTTAGCATCTGGTGGCTGCCTGCCCTCTAAGCAGATGTTTCGAGCGCTAGGAAGATGGCCAGATCTACAGGGCAATGACTGTGACCCAACCTCATGCTTCAGGGCTTCAGTCTGTCAGCTGTAGGGTTCAGGAAGGAATTCCTCTCCTCTCTTACAGGGAATTTGGATGGTTTTCCTTTATATATCACCTTATCCTGGAGCAAAGACTAGCTGTGGGGAGAGGCACCATATGGAGTGAGGAGGCCAGAGCTGTATGGGGGCACAAGGGGCTCTCTCGGGGGCCTAGCAGGTGGATCTTGCTCACATATTTAGGGTCAAAGTGATCTCCGGATCTGGGGTCCAGAAGGAGTCTTCCCAGCACAGACTTGGACTTTGGGCTTTTGCCCCTCTCTTAGCAGCAAAGGAAGGTCACCTGCTAGGATCATCTGGGCTCATCTTGCCTAATCAATTATCTGCCGCTGAAGGGGGTTGGGCATTACTGGCACCTTGATCTTTCCTGTTCTCTACCTGCAGTGCTTGGTTTATTTCTGGTGGGCTGAAAAATCTGACCTAACTGAAACCTTTGGCTTTGGCACAGGGCACTTGGTGATACCTGACACTGGGTGCATCTATATGTGCATGAAGGCGCTTTTTCTATTGAGCATTAAATTTAGCACCTCCAATGTGAGCTATTAAAGAAATGAGCATTAGGCTGCCTTAATATGCAGTAATGAATGCACATGTTTTTTTCAGTGACACTGAACGCGCAATAGCCTATTTTACTGAGCCTTAGCATAATCACACTTTTTTTACACGATGCTTTAATGAGAAGTTAAATAGGTTACTGTGTATTAAAGTGCACATGCAGATATGCCCACTGGGTAGCTGGGTGATACTGGCCAGCCTGGGATTCACAGGCCCCTGTGATCTCCTGTCCCATCTAATGAAATGGATTTGGGAATAGTGTTGTGATGGTGAGGTGGATTCTGGCACCAATCCTCCCAGGTACTGAGCATCCTCTACAGAAGCTCTGTGTGCTATTGACTGCTGCTGAAGCCCTTGGGGCACAAGGATAGTTGGCAACTTGCACCTCAGGGTAAATGGCTGCTCCCAGAAGGCAGCCAAGGGGTCCTGGCAAATACCACCAGTCAGAACCCAGCAGGCAGCCCTCCAGTTACATGCCTGCCTGCCCTTACAGCTCTTGGCTTCGTGGCTACGTAGGCTGTGGTCATTTCAGGTATATTCTGTTATTCTGACACCTCCTTGATCCCTCTGCATTTTGCTTGCCTTCCTGTTGTTCCCCTCTGCTGCCAGGCAGCCTGGAAAGTCTGAGAAGTATGTAACAGAGTCCCCGGCACTCATGCCAGTACTGTCACGTCTCTAAACAGTGCTGTTGTGAGTGCCGTGCCCCCTAGATGAAGGCGAGACACGTCCAAAGTGAGCAAGGGAAGGCTTGAGCGTGCACACACAGGGGTAGTCCCATCACCTTGCACAAACCCAGGGATGTCAGCAGCAGGCAGTCAAAATGGTCCTGTTGTGCGGTGGTTCCTACCCTGCCCGCACTGTTCCAGCCTGCCCCGGCTCCAGGGAGGTAAGGAAGTAGCTGCACCACCAAGATGCACCTTGGGAAGCCTCCCTTTCCTAGACTCCACATCCCCTCAGTCCCTTTCCCAGACTGTTTAATCCATGACAAATGAAGGTCCCTCCAGCTAAGCGGCAGGTTCCAGGAAGCCTCACGAAGCCATCAGAGAAGCCTGAGTGAGGTTCCCTTCTGAGCTGGTCAAGCTGCCCAACCTTGGACATGGGTGCTCCAGCAAAACCAAGCCTTCAGGGAGAGGAGGGGAAAGGATGGCTTGTGTTTCTATAGAGTCCTGGTATGCTCTAAAGCCAACTACAGGGGCAAAGCCAAGGCCGTCACCCCAACCTGCCTTAATTTTCCTGTTGGTAATTAGCTTGGGTAAAAGCCCCAGCCCCTCCAATAGAAACAAATCACTCCCATTCAAGCTTGTGGGAGCTGTGTGGGTTCACTGGCAGGATTTGGCCCCCTCTTGCCATTCCCATTTGCCCTGGATGGTGCACAGTGGTGATGCCCATTGCAGCTGGGAGAAGAGGCACGAGCTCCTGGGCCCCTTACTCCTCCCTGCCCCTCTGGGCTTGAGGTCACTGCTGACATCACCCAGTTTGTTGCCGCGGAAAGGAAACCCAGAAGAAGCTGCTGTGGCCTGGGCACCGCGTGCGCCGCGCAATACCTTCCGGACATCGATCTCGGTCAGCAATCGCATGGCGAGATCGCTCCCCAGCTCTTCTGCCTCACACTTACTGCTCACGTACAGCTGTGAGAAACGGGGGCAGAAGAGCAATGTCAGATATGAGGGAGGCAGAGAGAGAGAGAAAGCAGGAGACGGTGACAGACGGCTGCGGGGGACAGGCCGGGACCCTGGCAGGGATGAACACTACTGGCATGTTTCGGCAGCATCAGCACTGGCTGCAGAGCCAGATCTGAATGCCCTGGAGACAGAGTGTAGGGAGCCCTTGTGGGAGATACGTGGACCCCCCCACCCAGCCTCCCCAGGCAGGTGGAGCTGAACTTGCCCAGCGCTGCGACTCCAGGTGCTCATCATCAGGCCAGACCCCAGCCTTTTGGCTGCCATTGGCAGGCGGCAACTTGGGATCTGGAACGCTGAACTGTAGCAAGTGCATCGCCTATGGTCTCATTGCGGAGAGTCAGCTGGTGTTTCTCCTACATCTGGATCCTGCTGAAGGTTAAATTGCAGGGCAGAGCCTGGCAGGGGAAGGGGGTGGACAGGACAGCTGCACCAGGGTGTCAAATTCTGCCTTAACAGGATTGTCTGGACCAGCAGGGGAGTGATTCCTGTGGGAGCCAGCTGACCCCGAGGGAGGTGCCGACAGAAATTCACCTCTAGTGTGTGGCTCCAAAGGTGGCCAAGGGCAGGAGTGACTGGCTAAGAGACTGGAAGGCACTGAGTGACTTCCATGGTGGGTCTCAGAGCTGGTCCTGTGGAAGTGATGGGCAGTACACAAAAGCTGCTGTCCTGGCACAGATGTCCAGGCCTTTTGGTTAGTGTCAAAACAAGTCAAAGCAGCTGCCGGACACGAAGAGCACAAAGGGAGAAGTTTGTGTGTGTGCAAGCCTGCACTGCAGAAATAATACCAGGCCCTCTGGGCTGGTACCATCTACCAGCAGCAAGTTATACAGGAAGTCAGAGACCTGGCTGTGCTCTGCAGCTCTTTGGATGCATGATCAAGACAGGGCAAGACCCAAGCTCTCTATGCAGAGATAATGAAACTCTATGTGAATCAGAAACAAATGCCTATCAGGGTCTCACATGAGCTTGATTGGCACTAAGGTTCAAACACAGGATGTGTACTACGTTCTGGTGCAAACTCTGAAGAGGATGGACATGACATCCAAAGGCAAAGAGGGACAGGATGTGGCTCCTGCTTGGAGACCAGAGACCACAATGCAGACAAACAAGTCTTCATCCTGTCTGTGCTTGGATTCTGCTCTTCATTTTCCACCAAGCCAGGCTGGGGTAACTCCTTTGCATCAGTGCCATGGCTTTAGATGCGCCCAGTGCAATGGTTGCAGCCAGTAGCATTTGTCCAGCTGCGCACTGCAGAGCTGCCGCAAGCCAGCGCTGTTCACTGTGGAACCAGCCCTGGGTGCCAAGACAGCAGATGGTTACTAAAGCCTCCTTCCTCTGTGGAGCCATTAACAATGCTGGGAGTGTGCCTATGTGCAGCGGCCCCAGCATGACTGATGTAGGGAAAGGCCACACGGCACGTCCACCCTGCAGAGTAGTCCAAGGCCACATGAGTGTTCTCTTCCTGCAGCTGCCAACAACATCAACATGGACCCAAGTGCAGTGCAAGAGGCAAAACTCATCCCTGCCCCTCGGTTACAGGATCGGACGATACCAAGGTCTCCTGCCCAGATCTTGGTCCTCTGGGTTGGGGTAGTCTCCTTCCACTACCAGCCACTGACCCCTCCCTTGTGCCGCAAGTGGTTTCCCAGTCAACGCTGCTGGGGCATTTCATTTTTCACCCTCCCACTGGGTATGCTAGCAAGTCACTAGTCACTTGCAGGGCTTCTGCATTTCCTATGATCCCCTGGGCTATCATGTCCCCCATGGTAAAAACACCCTGGAGAGACAGGGAATTGCTGAACCCTACTGGTTCTGGAAGTGGGATGGGGTGGGTGCATGGGCAAGCATGATGATTTTTTTGGCTGTGTTTCCACAGACGGCAGCACATCAGTGCCACCACTCCAGAGGCTTGCAGAAGCCTAAGCTGGCATGAAAAAGGGAGAAGCCTGAACTGGCCACCATGTGGGAGATGCTGGGTTGACAAGGGGACTCCTCTCCATAGCATGCAAGTCTGGAGAACCAAGCACAGGTCTGTTCATGGGGGAGAGGGTTGCACAAGGGTGCCTATACTGAGGGGGAAAACAGGGAGCTCCAGACCAGAAGGGTCTTGAAGTCCAGTCCCCTGGTGTGGCAGTAATCAAGTCCTACAATCCTGTGTGTGAACTTGTCCAGCTCTTTTGCACAAGCTACGTAGCTGCGCGGTTTGCTCCTACAGCACCTCGCCGGCTGCTCTGCAGCCTGAGAGCTCAGGAGCCACTTTCTGATTTCCAGCTCAAGCCATCACAGCCAGTTTATCCATGTCTTCTTATACCAACGCAGCCCTTTGGCTTCAATGGCATTTGAAGAAAACTTCGATGCTGACACCTTCAAACACAGGACTCCTGCCATTCGCTGTGCCTGACCAAATCAAGCTCCATCCTCCTTTACTTGTAACTCAGGCTCTCCACTCCTGTGACTGGCCCAGCGGCTCTTCTGGCCCAGCCTGTCTCTATATCTGCCCTCAGAGACCAGAGGGCAAAGCTAGCTCACAGGCAGCTGCATCATCCTCTGAGCAGATGGGACTAGAGAGCCATCAGAGCTTCCAGCTCAGGAACACAATTTCCCCTGGGTTTCCATCATCTCTCTTCCTGCCTTGAAGTGTCGAGCCATTGGCCAGCCACAAAAAGCCCTGATGCTCACCGACCTTGGCTCTCAGGCACGTGCCACCACCTTGCATTGTAGGAAGGCACAGGCACGTCAAGCAAGCTGGCTGTCTGATGTTATCCTTCCCTGCTCCAGTGCTTCCCAGCAGCATCCTGGTTGCAGGCACAGATAAGCCAAGGGGCTCTTCCAAGGGCAGGTGCCCCCAGCCAATGTCACCTGGCAACAGCCCTGCTTGGAGATGGGATCTGGCAGAGACAGAGAAGATGCTATTAGCTTCAGTGATCGTCTTGCTGGCTCTGGGCAGCACAGAGCAGTGGGGAGCAGGGTGGTGTCAATGCATGGGATGCTTTCAAATAACCTGGCTCCCTCTTCATTGCTCCTAGTGCAGTGCTGATTCTCTGAGCCAGCTGCTGTGGCCCACATTGTGATCTCGTTATATGCCATATTAAATAGGGATTAGCAGCCGTATCTGCTCCCTGGCCCGCTGCATTAGGGGCTGGCACTGCAGGCACAAACCTGCACTGTAACATGGACGGGGTGGGCCAGAGGGATGCGTGGAGGGCTGAGGGCAGAGAGGCATGTATTGTGCACACCAAGGGACTGTGAGGACTTGCTGCAGGAGGCTTCCAAGAGAGGATGATTCATTTTTTTAAATTAGAAAGCGAGGGAGATATTAAAAGCAGCCACTGAACAAAGGCAGGAAGATCAGTTGGAAAGATTGGGGGGAGGGGGAGGGGGAGGACACTGGGTTGCAGCGAGCCATGCTATCACAGTGCTCTGTGTTTGTCCTTGCCCACAGCATTTCCAGAGCAAACCCTGCTCTGTTTCTAATTGAACAGATTCAGAGTTCTCCGGCTTGGGCATCCAGCAAACCCATGGCTGGGTTTATTTTGACCCTTCCATTTGCAAGAAGGAACCAAGCTCCTGTGACCAGAACGCAGTGGATCGCGGTATTGAGACCCGATGGGATGAACTTCCATCTGCTGTTCAGTGCAGCCGCTTCTGGTGCTTCCTGCTCTACAATGCAAAGGAACAGGAGGTGAAGGATGCTGCCTTTGACTGAAAGTACCTGCGGACTTTGGGGAGAGGAAAACGTAACCACCTTGCTGAAGACTGTCAAGGATTGCTGGGTTAACCATCCTTCTCCTGAGAAAACAGGATTAAGATCTTCACTGAACACTGGGGTTCGTGACCTTGAGTAGAACAACAGGCACTAGGGCCCCACAGGGGCATTAAGCATGCTAAAAGTTCATTGTCAACAAACTCGGCTGCTTCTCACACTGCAGAACCAGCTCCTGCCCCAGTGAGCTTACAGTTGGAACAACAAAATGCAGATGAAAGGTGGAGGAACAGGACATGGACAGCCAGTTCCGCCTGGAGAGATGAGTCAGCTACCCCCTTAGATTACCTGCAGGATTTATGTCATTGCATCACAGCACACAGAGAACTGACTCAAAAAAGGAAGGAGATCAATCAAAGCCAAGTCCCTGAGGGGACCCGGATTATCTGATTCTCTCTGCATCCTCATGGTTAAGATGGGTTTCCTTGTCAAGGAAGCTTAAGGACTTGATTCATTCTCTTTCCCAGCCAAGAGGAAACTCTCAGGAGTGCCAGCCTGCAATTGCACAGCTCACAAGTGCCCCAGACAGGGGGATGACAACTTACCTTGCTATTTTGGATCAGGCGGATGATGTGTTCAAAGCAGTTGTTGCTGAGGAATATTGCTTGCAGGACAGGTCTGTCGCCACAATTCAGCATCTCTGGAATGGCATCTGCAGGGAAAGGGCATTCAATTGGTACCAGGATAACAAGGGAGTGACATCTCCAGCCGTACAAGGCACCTGGCCAGGGCTGGGAGCAGGGCACAAAGATCCAGGGAGTGTACCCGGGGAGTTGGTGGCAGTAGGTCAGACAGAGCAATCCCTGTACTGCCAGACTTGCCCAGCAGGCAAATGGCACACCCCACCTGGACAGCTCATGAGGGAGTTGAGGAAGGGGACATCTATTTGCTAACAAGGTCTGTCTTTTGCAAAGGTCACTTGCTCCCAGAGGCAGGCATATGGAAGGGAACTGGCTATTTGTATGAAAAGGCTGCTGGCTCGGTGCAGGATGAATGGCTACACCAGGCAATGTGGCCATCACTGATAATGTAGGAGCACCAAGCATGGGCTAGTTCAGGGGTGGGCCAGATGTGGCCCACCAGGCCATTCTATCCGGCTCGTGGGGCCCCTAAAAATTCAGAAAATTACTAGTTATCTGCCCCTGGCTGCCTGTCATGCGTCCCTCAATGGCTTGCTAAAACTCAGTAAAGCAGCCCTCTGCCCAAAATAATTGCCCGCCCCTGGGTTAGCTGCAAGTAAAAAGGGGACAGTCCGTGGCTGTGTCCCCTCAAGGCAGGGCTGGACTAAAGGCAGTTAGCACCTCAGTGGTTGACAGTGTCTTACTGTCACTGGTACTCCAGTGGGGTGGAGAGCAACCAACTGCAGCAACCTTGGGGGCAAGGGGGGGAGGGGGCTACAGGCAGACCCCCCTTGCGTAGGCAAGGTGCTGGAGCACAGGGTATAAATGGACATCACCAAATGAAGCAGATCAGTCTTGATGGGATTTGTCTTGCCACAGCTGATCTGCTTCACTGGGTGAAACGAATGTCACCTGCTGTCTCTCTCGCAGTGGGCAAGGGCCCAGACCTGCAGGACAATGGGCGACATGTTCCCCGCTTCTGAAATTGTCCAGGGCACGTCTTGGTGAGAGGGGAAAGCTGGGCAGGTGCTGCCAGGGCTTGAGAGGCCCAATCCTTTGCAGAAATTCCCAGGCATAGGATCTGACCCCTCAAGGTCCAGGAGTGCCTGCCCAGGGCAGCTCGAGAGTACAGGCAGCTCTGGGCTGCTCAGGCTCTCACATCATAAAGCAAGCAGATGTCCGCTGCAATAAAGCAGCAGAAACTATTGCTACCTGTGTTGTGGCCATATATTTTGGGTATTTGTGGCACAACATGGGGTCTGGATGTCTTTCCACACATTGAGAACCTGCTGGGGCTCTGTTACAAACAGCACGAAGCTTCAGAGCTGTGGGTAAGCCTGGCTGCCCTTCCAGGAGAGGCACCATCCACCCATGAGATAGGCCAAGCTGTGGGAATCTAGCTGCCAGTGACAGCTTTGCTGCATCACCCCTTGGCTCAGAAAGGAGCTGTGCATGGGGCTGGGAAAGAATGCGTCTCATCAGGCCCTTGTCCCACAAAGCAGACCACTGCGGGGCTAACCTACCCAGCATGTTAACCCTGAGCGTGATCAGCTTGTCTTCCCAGCGTGCTGCTGCTGCCCCCTCCAGTGCTGCCATTGGCTGGTCAGAGTTGAGGACCTTGAAGTAGCTGTCCAGGATGGCCCTGATCTCCACCTTGCGCTGGCCCGGGCTGCTGGCGTGCAGGACGTGAATCATCCCCACTAGGCTCTTAAGGGTGAGCTGCAGCAGCTGGGGGTCCTGGGGGGCACTGTCCCCTGGGGAGCACCACCTGAGGAGCACCAGCATGAGTGCCTCCACTGCGGCTGGCGTGATCACCAGGAGGGCGTTCTGCTGTTGGAGCAAGGCACAGAGTGACACAGTGCACCGGGAAGGCAGGCATGGGCCAGGGAAATAGAAAGCAACAAGGAGTACAGTCTGATTTACACATGTGCACACACAGGACAGTCTAATTTATACACACATGCATGCATGCACACACGCATGGCAGAGTCTGATTTATGCACATACCCACAGAGTCGAGTCTGATTTAAATGCACATACCCACAGAACAGGATCTGATGGATATGCACATGCATGCTGGGCAGTCTGATTTGCACACAAAAATACACACTTACACACACTAGGGGTGACAATTGGGGCACAGGCAATGGGAGTCAGCATGGCGTGCTCCCTCTGGCTTCTTCCTTCCTACCCTCGCACGGGTAGCCAGCTGGTGAGCCAGCTTCAATAGGAAGGTTGTAGGCTGCTCCTGGCCTGGGCATTACAGCATTTTGCTGGGATGTGGGAGGAGCAGGTTCAAGCCTCTTGTGGGCAAAAGGGACTTTCCAGGACCTATCACTGGCCTCAAGAGCCCACGGCACAATGGGCAGATGCTATTCTAGGCATCACTACGTCTAGGAGCATTCAGCTTTTTTATCTTTGACTCCTATAGAGTTGGGGGGCGGGGGCCATCATCCAGTTACAAAAACTGCCTCTAATACCTGGAAGCGAGATCTGAGGTTTTGATTCCTGCCGTCTCCAAAGGGAAGCTGTATAAGTTACACAGAAAAATCAGCACTCAAAATGATTAGCTTCATCTTGGTGTCTCACCAGCAGGACAGCATGATTTCAATCAACAATTTTAAGCCAGCAAGCAGGGAACCTTGGTATAAAAATCAAGGGGTTCCGTCTCATTTTGCATTTCTTTATCATTTTCCTGAAGCAAATGGATTCTCATTGGCTGTGAAGCACTGAAACATGCTTCTATCCAATTAAATTCAGCCGTTACACTAAATTTAGTCTATTTTGCTTATTGGGGAATACAGTGTAACTATAAACATTTAACCAAGCAATTTCATAGTTTAACATATGTTTATTCATCTTCTTAATTTTTATGCTGTTGTGTTAAAAAATGGTGAACGATACTTTTATTTAACTAGATGATTCATTTTTTTCTTTGGCTTTTGTGTCAAGCTGTTTTTGGATGGGAACTGGAATTCAATTAAAAGGCACAAAACCCAGCATTTGAGACTGTTTTATTAATAAAACAATCTTAGAAGTGCTGGATATATAATGAAAGAAGCGTATCAAATGCGTTCTGTAATTAAAATGAATTTGTTAAGTATTTTCTATAGTTTGTGAACTGAACTAGCTCGCTATTTTCTTCAGAGATTTCAGAACTAGGAGATCTCATCCTTTCACACTCTGCTCTTATTCATTAGAAGTGGAAAAAAGTAGGAAAGCTTATTTAAACTCCCAATCAGCCTCAGAACTGAGTCAGCTGAATAAAGTACAGAGAAAAAAAGGCTATTGCTGTCATAAATTAGCTTAGCATTGCACCACTCTCTGATTCCAGATGCTTAGCTGATGATTTGCTTTTAAAAAAAAAACATTGGCTTGATTATTTTTGTTGCACTTCAATGATTTTAAGAGATTACAGCAAGTTTTGGTTTTAATGCAGGCTGGCAGTTCAAGTTTACATTTTAAATGGCCTGTCTTTGCAAACATGACATACATGTAAAATAAAACTATCTAATTTAAAATAGAAGGGGCCTCCTAGGCAATAGAGTCTGGTCCCCTACTGTCAACTGTTCACCCACAATCACCCCTTCAAACCCTCTCACACAATTGTGAGGCACAAAACTAGAAACATCAGGAATACTCCACAATATGCCACAGGTAAAAGTAGTGGGGGAAGAAGGGCATTACTAATGCCCTGCCACGGCAATGACAGAGAAGTAATTGGTTAAAATATGCTCAGAAGACCCAGGAAAAGGAGGACAAACTCCCAGAGTCCATCCCAATCTGATCTGGGGGAAAAATTCCTTCTTGATGCCAAGCGTGACAATCAGTCTGATGGGAGCAAAAGAACTGGACTCTCCAAGCCAGGAACTTTTGGGTTTTCTAAGCACTGGCACAAATATCAGTCAAGAGCCCTTGGCCTTTTATTGGCTATATAGCCAGCAGTACTTTGTAATGAAGTGGGTTGCACATGTGCACTCTCTCATGGGTGGACTCAGAACTCACAGACCACATGTCAAGGATCCCACAGGGCTAATAAAGATGTAACATCAGCTAAAATGGGTGGAGGCTGCCACTTTGGAAAGGGAGACAGCAGGCTCCAGCTCCAGGAGTAAAATGTCCTGGCACGTACCGCTAGTGAATTCTAACTTGACCTGGGCAGGCAGCAGGATAGTGACCATGCTGCATGTGAGCTTGGCTTCTGTGCACATCTCACCTCCCCGAGCCATCAAATTCCTTTTGCAAAGCTTCGTCTTCTCCCCTTTCTGTCCTGTGCACAGTCCAATGATGTAATACCGGTGGGCACTGTTTGCCATTCAAACTGGGGCAAGGGCCTGGTTCTGGGTCTAACCCACCATAGGAAGATATTAAAAGCACAGTTTTGCTGGGTGTCAGAAAGCTGCAGCAGAGGTGGCTGCTTTTCAGAGGTGTGTGGTGTGTAATGCCCGTTGTCTGCCGGGATGAAGAGCTCTTTAGAGGAAGTGTGAAATCCTCCCACAACAGGACACAGAAGAGGAGTCTATTTGACTATGGCCACAGAAGGGACTCTCCACATCATCCATGCAGGGGAATTGACCCTCTTAGAAGAGAATTTGATTCCTTCCTCTCACAGGATCATAGAGAAGTTGGGCTGGAAGGGACTTCCAGGGGTCGCATCTAGTCCAACCCCCTGCCTGAGGCAGGATCAGCTCTATCCAAACCATCCCATACAAATCCACTGTCTATCCTCTTAGCAAAACTACACTGCCAACCCTGACACCCACAAGACATCACACCCAAATCTGCCACACACAAAGCAGTGGGACCACAGTGACCTCAGAGTCAGCACAGCTCTGCCTGGGCCCTAGCCACCTCTCCCGCTTTTGAGGCAGAGCTCATAGGTCAGGAGGAAGCCCCGGGGGCAGGTGAACAGCAGTGACTCCAGCCTCATTACCTTGGCTCCAGAAAGAACAGCACCGAAGAGGTGGATGAGGCGCAACTGGAGCGCCTCGGGAAGCTGCCCGCTGTCCTGGAAGCTCCCTGCAGGGATGAGAGGGGAGAGTGTGTTAGCAGCCAAACAAGGGACATGGAGAGCAATGGAAGGGGTCCCCAAGGTCCCAGTACTTGAGTAGCAGCAGCAGGAGACAGCTAGGAGGGACTCAGCTTTTTGGGTGCAGTAGATCCCAGATGCAAGGCTTGGGGGTCCCTAGACTGCTGGGACGGCGTCTGGCTGGAGGGGAGAACTCTTGGCAGGGCACGGCGTGCAGTCAGTGGAGCCTGCAGGGAGCCATTTACCTTTGTAGGCCTACTTGGACATTCATGTCCATGGTGCCGTAGTCTAAACCCTTCCTCAGGCCACACCAGTGGCATGACAATGAGCAGGAGTACCCCCTTTCTACACACACAACTGCAGGAACTGAAGTTGCCTAAGAATCAGCAAGAAGTTGAGCTAGAAGGGTCCTGGAGGTCATCTGGTCCAGCCCCCTGCTCCAGGCACTGGCTTGGGACTTTCAAACTGGCAACAGAGCCCTTGCATCCTTGACTTCATACCTGAGGCAGGAAAACTGCCCAATGCCCAGTGAAGTCAATGGAGAAAAGACTCCTAAGGGTACAGGACATAACCTCCTAGTGTGATGCTAGGGGGACTGAGGCTGCATTAGGTAATGTGCCTTCACCGGCTCCCTTCTCCTGTTCTAGACCTCCAATACCTTCTATCAGGGCATTGGGAGGTGCAGACATAATCCTCTCGTTCAGCTCCTGTGCCAAACAGAGCAGAGAATGGACAAACGGGAGCTTCCTGGGTGTCTGGGTAGCAATGTGGCAGCTGACGATGGATGCTTTTTGCCACTGAGATGAGCCCCTTAGCTCTGCTGAGAGGCAGCTTCTCTCTTCTAGGAAACATCCAGCAAGGAACAATACTTCCTGCAGGAAGGGCCCCAGGGGGCTACAAGCAACACACCGCCTTGTCCTTTGGCCTCACACTCAGGGCTGCCAAGCAGCATGGAAGGAGCCGTGGCTGGGCAAGACAGCAGCAGAAGCAGCGCTCTGCACCCCTGCCCAGCGCCTCTGAATTCTTGGAAGCAGGCTGTTGTGCGACAGGCCTGGCGGAGGAAATCCCAGGGACTCCCTGCAGTCCCAGAGAGCTTGGAGCTGTCCCAGAGCATCTGGAAAAGCATGGAGGGCGGGTAAATACAGGGCCAAGAGCAGGAAGCAATGCCAAGGAGGCGTGAGAAAGGGTGTGGTAGAGGGAGCAGCACGAGCCAACACTCCCCTTGTTTGTCCATGCAGCCAGGGGAGTGCCCAGGCTGGCTTTCTAAGCTTGTGTTCAGGGCAAACGCTGCCTTGAGCCCAAGTGGGGTTCTGCTCTCCTGGCGATGTGCAGGGTCTTGGTGCTTATAGTGCTACCTGCATTGGCTCCCCCTCATTGGTAGGCTGGACAGAGAAGCCAAGAGTGAAAGAGGCTGGGAGATGCTCACTGGCAGCCCCATAGGTGAGGGCTGACACAGCAGGGGTTGGGGAAGACTGCTCAGCATCTATCCAGTGCCTGACGCTGGCACTACATCCATTGACAAAGGCTCCTTTTCCCTTCTGTCTCTGAGCACAGGGCCGGTCGTGAGAGTGGCGTTCCCCTCCTAATGAGTAAACCTTTGCTCGGGGAGGCGGAGGAGAGACAATGGCATGCGAGCCCGATCTCAGCCCTGGAGCACTGCCAGTCCTCAGCCCTGCTGCTCCCACGGACCGGGAGGCTGCTCCAAGTCCCAGCATGCCCCGAGTGACACACGTCAAGGGGATGCGGCAGATCCCCAGGCTGCAGGGAAGAGGCTACACACCCTCTTGAACTCCCCCTCACCCACGGATCTGTCTGCACAGGTCCTGCTCTCGGCCTGCTGTCTGCACAGGCGGGGCCGGGAGTTTCACTCTGGACGTGCCAGTATGAATGCACGCTCGCTGCGCAGCAAATCAAGGCTTTATGATAGAGAGCTGTGGGGCAGTGGTTTTGCCTCTCCCCCGTAGCCAAAGACTGAATTCAAGAACTGATCTGCAAGCCTCAGGAGATGAGGAGTAGGGGTCACATGCCAAAGTGAGGAGGAGGCAGGTTGAAACCAGGAGTGGTTTTGTACACAGTGCACAGTTAACTGGTGGGACTCCCTGCCACAGCAGGGTTTAGAGGCAGATAGATAACCAAGTACAAAAATGGGATGAGACAAATTCATGGAGGACAGGGCCATTAACACCCATTATGCAGAACAGACTTGGGTGTGTCCTCCAATAGCTCTAAATCAATGGTGCTCGATGCCAAATTGGGGGGTCTTGCAGGAGATAGACATGTCCTATTCATGTACTCTCCTTTCACTACATTTACATACTGCCACTGCCACAGACAGGAGACTGAGTCAGATGAACCCACAGAATCAGAGAAGTCGGGCTGGAAGGGACCAAGCCCCTGGCCAAGGCAGGATCATCTCTATTCCAACCATCCTATACACATCCATCATCTAAACTCTTTGTAAAACTACCACCATCCCTGAGACGACACAAGATGCCACACCTGAACCTGCTACGGGTAAAGCAGGGAGACCGCGATAGCCACCATCCTGCATCTGTAAAAGGTTGCTAATATATGCTCAAAAGATCCCAGGTAGAGGGCCATGACCCCCTCCCCTTTACAGAGGAAGGCTAAACTCCCCTGGTCTATACCAATCTGACCATGGGGTAAAACTCCTTCCTGACCCCAAATGTGCTGTTGGTTTGACCCTGCGCAGAGGGGCAAGACCCACTAGCCAGAAGGCTCCAGTTTTAAATCCCAGCAGGAACACTGGCACACCCCAGTCAAAATCCCCACCTTGACTGCAGCCAGCACCCAATGCCTCTGAGGGAGGCCTAAAAACACCCTGACACATGCAGCAGAAAACAGGGAGGAGGGGGCAACCAGCAAAGCCCAGAAGTATGGGAACCAGTCATAGCAGAACATAGGCATAGCTATGCCTATATAGCTACACCAGCATGGCACTGCTACTGTTCTTATGGCAGGGGCTGCATCTGCTCTGGGAATAATTTCCCAGCATCACTACATGCCCAAGGGCAGCAGCACAAGGCTGTTAAAGCATCAAACCGCGACTCTGGAGCCTAAGTTTGAATCTGGCCTCTGACACAGAGTCCTCACTGCCACCTTGGGCAAGTCACTTAATGCAGCAGCCACCTGCACCATCATGAGACAAAGTCAACAGAGAAAGAGGATATCATTAGTATTAGTCTCCACCCTGATTCCTGTTCAGCTGTGCTTCGCAGTGCTGTACAGACAGCAAACACCCCAGGGTCAGACATCCTGTCTCTGTTCATACGGATGTTTCAGCACGCAGCTGTAGGGACAGCACAGCTGGACCAAGTAGAGGCCCTGTGCCCCTGACACTGTTTGGCTAAGGTTTTAGCAAAACCTTGATTTAACAGGGCCACAGCTTTTAGCAGGACTTCCCCTCACCTTTGCCTTAGTTTAAGGAGGTCTTTAGCTTTGAATGAAGTTTCCCCGCTTCCCTCTCCCTTTCTAGAAGGTGATTAGTCACCTTACAGGTCACACCTGAAAGACAAATCAAGTGACACATCTTCCAGGAAGGTAGAGGGGTAAAAGTGACTGGCACACATACTAAAGCCATACCTTGGGCACACCTGCATGGGGATTTGTGGGCAACTGGCTTGCACATCCCTCAAGAAGGAATGGCTTCACGGGTGGACTGAAAACCACCCACCTAACAATGAACCCAATGCTCCAAGGTTCACTTGCCCTGTGCAATGGATCTGGAACTTGCCTTCTCTGACCTGCTTAGGGCAACATGGACCTGGCTGTGATGGTAGCGTAGTGCAGATGTCCCTGAGCTAGCTAGTTTAAATCTATCTTGGATGCTAGTAACAATCTAGCGCCATGATTCTCATCCAGGGTGATCTGGCCCCCCTGGGGTGCCCTGAGATCCTTTCCAGGGTGCTACACAACATCAGCCCTGTTGGGTGTACAAATATGATTCACAAGACAAACTCAAGGATTTCATATAGGAACCTAGAGGGTCAAAAATATCCTGCCCTGCTGTGGTCTTTACAAGTAAGTCCCCTGCAACTGAAGAACAGCTCTATGATTTTGTTGCGGTCAAAAGACAAATGAAAACTAAGAGCTGGGATTTCCAAGGGGACCCTTTAGTCTAAAAAAGGTCAAGAACAAATGATGTTGCAGCAGCAGCAGGCAAATCTATACCAGTTGCAAGCGCTCCTCACTGTCCCCCCAGATACATGTGCAGGTAGTTATTCTGCACCTACTGGCTGTATCCAAGCTTGCTAGCTCAGGTTATCCACGCTACACGGTCATAAGCAGCTGCTGCATAGATACACCCTTAGTCATGCCACAGCAGACCCTTCCCTGCCCAGCTTCCTCCTGGCCTCGCCTCCTGACTGATTGAAGAAGGTGGCTGTTTGGTTAGGAACAAGATTATTCACCTGGGTTATGGCTCCCACCCAGGGTGAATAAAAGTGAAAGAGCAGCAGGAAGGAAGGTGTCTGAGGAACGGCGGCCGGGTGTTTACTTGTTGTGTTTCACTGGAAAGAAGAGCAGTCGGTTTCACCGTTGTGACGGTTTCACTTTTGGCCCCAGCCAGCTTCATGCTCCTGGGTTCCACATGCTAACGCCAACACACACTTATTGGAGGCGTAAATAAAACCCCTTTTCCAAGGGACGCTCTAAAAGCTATGGGAAATACTTTTTTGGCTCTTTTGTTTTCTAAAAGCTATTTTTACAGGACCTAAATTCAGGGCCAGCTCTGGGCTGTCAGTGTGCCTTGAAGGATGGGGGCAATCTTAATGCACCTTAGGGGTAGACAGCAGTGTGTTTGTACAAGCAAAGGCTAAATATTGTCATCCCCATTTTACACCTGGGAAAATGGAGACTCAGAGCAGAAAGAAGCCACAGCAAGCTGGGAACAGAGCCTGCCGTCCCCAGGCACTGCACCGAGCAGAGAAATGGGCAGGAAAGATTATGTGAGTGGACAGACAGCAGGAGGGAAGGGGTGACACAAAGGGTAGGAGCCTCCAGGAGATAGTAGTGGGGGGCAAAAGAGGGAGAGGCAGGAGGCACGGCTGTGGTAACACCAGCCTCCTGGTTCACAAGCAGCCTCCTATGCAAGGGAATCCTTCCATTGAGCTCCATGAAAAGACTTCAGGGCTTCATATAGCCTCCCCATACAGCAGCCAGATTGTGTGTGTGCACGCCACCCAGCACGGCTGTTATATGTGGGGACGGATATTTCACGGGGCATCTGGACCCCTCTGGGGGGAGAGGAATAACTTGCGCAGGAGAGGCAATGGTGCAAATGATCAGTCCTCTATCAGCTTGGCTCTTACAAGATGCCACGCTGAAACTTGGTAGATATGAAGCCAGGCCAAATGCAAAGGGCTTTTGTTCTAAAAATGGTGTCAGCTGGCTGAATCCGGGATGGGGGATTTACACCCAGCAGTTACATTAAGAAGAAAAGTTCCTGGGTAGTTTTAGGTGATTTTTCTGCCCTGTCACAATTAGAACGGGGCTTTGTTTGATCAATTAGTCTCTCTCGGTCTGTTAAGTCCTTTGAGAGGACTGGAGCTTTCATGCCGTTTAAAAAGTCAAATCCACCAGCCAACATGCTTAACTTACTCTCTGCTGTAGTTGCTTTGTCAACCGCTGTGCAAAACTGCAGCCCTTCGCCACCACAAGGAAGTTTCACAACTCTAAGCCACAGCAGCCTGTTTCAGGCCCTGATCCTACAGCAAGATACACGTGCACTGAACTCCAGGCACAAGCAGCCTCGCAGTTCAGTGGTACCCCCCCATACACATGACACCAAATTAGTGGGTGTTCAGTCTCAGCAAGGGGATCCCCATGGGCTACAGGGTGGGCTGATCTGGGATACGGTGCCTGCCAGTGGTTCCTGGGGTGCATCCAGGGCTACGCTTCTGCACCCCAGTCTGAATAGCACCAGAGATGGGAGATAAAGGTGTTTACTGCACCTTAAGTTGAAGGATTTGACACTGTTGGGCCACTGCAAGAGAGCTCCCACTGCTGCATTACAACAGAAATCAGTCTTGATGCTAGACACTAGACAGGATGTGACCCACCCAAAGATAAAGAAAAAGCAGCCTCCTCCTGTAGAACAAAGGAAGCTGCAGATGTTACTTGAAACACCTCTGAAACGTGTCATGACTTTGCAGGAACTCACTTTGCACTCAGGTACACCCCAAAGCAGCGGCCAATCTCAGAGCAATGCACAGCAGTGCCTGCTTGACTGCCGGGCAGCAAATGGGAACTCATAAAAAGATCCCATCGCCCTCTCATTGCTCACATCATCCCCACTTTGGCCTGAGCAACAAAGCTCTGGTTAGATTTGGATCCAAACCCACTGACAGAAGCTGGAGCTCTCCACAGCCCAGTCTGCAGGATGCAGCCCAGGCAGTACCAAGTGCATTGGCCTTTCATCCCCATCTGAACTGAACCCTGTAGCAGAACTCCAAGGCTCAGATGCTTTCTTGATGCACAGGACAGCGGGACCTGGTGTGCAGAGACCCAAGGCAATCACATTAGCATGCACAGAAGAAAAGCAGCAGCTCGAGAAGCCAAGGAGAGGGCAAATCCCAGCTAGCGACAGAGAATATTAAAAACCTAAGTAACCAGCAAGAAACATGGGAAAATAATCTGCTCCATGAGGGAGGCTCCTCCTGCTCGCTTTGGGAATAAATCATCTCAGCTGAAGGCAGTTCCACCTCCTGGGGTTGGCTGCTGCGTACCCACCCCTCCATCTCATCTGCGTGGGATTTAGACTGGAAGGGCAAAAGGGCAGGTCAAAGGTCAATGAGAGCTCGGTGGCCTACTGGGCTAGTACAGCGCAGTCCAGTTTCTGCAGCCAACAGTGCACATATGGGAATCAAGTGGCGTGTATCACATCTAACCACTTTAGAGTCCCCAGCCTGAATCAACTGGCTGGGGCAACTCAGGGTAGGTGCTAATAAGAGTCCCGACTTCTGAAGCAGGACACCTTAATTGTTTTGCCCCTCAGCCCCAGGAGATCAGGAACTTTGTATGTTCATGGCGCTGCATACACGTTATTAATCTAGACAGCAGCCAAATCCTGAACCATTTGAGGTCTGCTCCCCACTAGCTGCAACATATCCTCTCAGATGCTCAAAATGGTTCAGAAACCTACCGATCACATTTATTACACATACGCATCTGTCTCATACTCTCAAAGTATATCCAAGGGTGAGATCACCTGCAATCTCCTAATGCAAGGAATGACTGTCATTTGTTCTCCATAATAAAGTAGGGACTTTCAATGTAGCTAAATAAAAAAGTAGGACATGTTTAAAACATGAGTCTGGATTTAAGTTGGGATTTAAAAGCCCCTGACTGGATTGGCGCTTTCCTCTCTAAACCCCAGCTTTATTTCTTTCCCTTGCACAAAACTCCAGTTAATCAGAAACAAGCCTCCGAGTTACACCTTGTCTTGGAAAATGCAAGGCAGTGTTCATAAGAGGACAATATGGTTCAAGAAATAAAACCCCTTTTACCACCCAGTTAAAAGGGTGACTTGCAAAAGGGGGAAAAATAGTGCTGGTGATGCAGGCTTCGGATTTGACTTTCTATTCATGTCCTCTCAATCTTCACAGTGCACTAAGGGAAGGGGATGGGTGGTGCCTAGGGAAGTCTCAGGCATCTTTCCTGGTGTCCATGAAATCACTGGGGGTAGGTCTACACCATGCCATGGGGAGGGGGCTGCTCTAGAGACACCCCACCCTGCTACTTGCACATGCTGTTGAACCACTCTGGGGTCATCCCCTCATGTCGAGTTGATACCTTCATTTCTAGCATGTTCGAGGGCAGTACCGGGGGTGCTCTTAGAATGGGTTCAGCCACTGGACATATATGCCAAAGCCTGGGTGGGGTGGTCCAGACATGCTCACAGGGACTCAAAAGAGAGAGGGAAAGGGTTTAGTACAGTGAGACTTGTGACTGGCCAAGCTTTACTTCCACACAAGCAGATGCTCTCTTTTAGTGGGAATGGACTGGAAATGAGCTGCAGGGACAGGGAAGCTGACATCAGGACTGCCAGGTCAAGCCCAGAGGAGACCCCCAAGGTGCCCCATGTCTGTTTGGTGAGCTGTGTGAAGTGAGCTGGGCAAGACTGACTTGAGTTCCCCTGGGAGAAGTGTTTTCCCTGCAAGGCCTCATCACCATTGCTGTTAGCCTCAAGCAGAGAGGTCAAGTACTAAATGGGCTTGGAGAATCAACTCCTCCCAGATCAAACAAGGAGTGTTTTCTCCTTGTTTCTTTGAGTGAAAGAAGAGGGGTTACACTTACTGGGGAAGGTCAGGCTTGAAACAAAGTCGAGTGCCCTCCCTTTTCCTTTGGGAAATGCAGGGAATTATGACATGGAGTGGAGCACCAAGCATGCACATCTGCATGTTACCCAGCATGCAGTCCTAACTCACAGCTGCATTACAGCAGTGTGGAGATGTGGGAAGGAGACTGTGCACTGTTTGTGGGGCTGAGTGGTAAAATCATTCTTTTCTATTGTCTAAAACACCAAAGAGATCCCAGTGCTGGTGATGAGGAACTGACACAACCATTAAAAACAACAGGCACCCTCTTTGGCATGAAGACGTGCCATTGCAACATGGGGGTGGAAAGAGGAGAGCATGGAGAACTCTGTGCTGGAGACAACAGGAAGGTAGAAGAGTAGGGCATCTGGCATTTACCTTGAAAGAAGGCACCAAACTCCAGAGGCAAAGCAGGAGGTGGGAACTTGTACTTGCTCTTCTCTTGCATGCTGACAATTTCTCTAGAAAGACAGGAAATGCAGAGGGAAGCAAGTCAGGATTTGCACTGGAGGGGGACAGCTAATGGGCGGTACAGGCACAGTGACTCTGCCACCACGCTGATGCCCAGTCCTGTACCATTAGATGCCTTTGTCTTATTGAGACAAACTGCCGCATAACATCACGCTGGCAAATCCCCATGCCCTGGGGCTGGCCTCCCAGCACCCAGGCTAATACATTTCATGAAATAAATGGTGGCAACTCTTCAGCTTGTTACCAAACAAGAGCCCACCATTCCACTGGTCTGTGTCCATCTGTGAACTATAGAAAAGCAGGGAGCTCCAGCCAGTCCCACTCACCCACTCAGTTGTCTCCTCCAAGTCTGGTATGGGTCAAAGAGGCATTCGTAGAGATGCAGAGCATAGGTGGTGACATTCTCAAGCTGAGACCTGTAGGACGCACACGGCTCATGGGTGTTCTTCAGCTGCAAGGACAGGAGAAACTGGGTTAATCATCAGTAGAAAAAATCCCTTTCCCCAACTAAAGACTCTTCATTAAGATTCGTTCATGTTGCTAAAAGGTTGCTTTGAAGATGTGAAGGGCTATTGAAGTGCTACATTATTATTCAGGCTAATTTCATTCACTTGATCACAAGCTCCTCCAGGGAAAGTGGAAGAGGGCGCATTTGTGTCTTTGAGCATCTCTTGAAGGTGACCTTGATTAGTTTTATTTGGATTATGGCAGGGCATAGATGCCACAGTCTGGGTTTGGGATGCCTCACTGAATGAAGTGCTGAGGCCCAAAGAACTCACTTTCTCTATGGATGACAAACCACAACAGGTGAGGGAAGGAGGTAAATCGGCAATGAGTATGTACGAACAGGGATCCTGGTTTTCTCTGCTTAAAAATCACAAATTCTCTGACTAAAACCCCCAAATCTACGATTAAAATGAAATGTCGCTGCATATATAAGTACCAGTTGAACACAATGTTTTATTGATATATTTACATTTTAAAGCAATTTGGAAGCCTGCCAGTGCCTCAATCACTACAATACAATTAATACTAATACCTATACATTTTGGCATTCGATTTTGGGGTTTTTTTATCATGGAAAATCAGAGCTCTCCCTGCCCCCTTTGCTCACCAAGACATGAACAGCACAGCTGGAGCACAGCCCATGGGGGCAGTGAATTCGGGGGTCCCCAGAGCTGCGTGCGGCTCCCAACAGTGGCACAAGCCTCTCTGCCCTGCTCTGCTCTGCCATGCTGGGTCCCATCCACTGGGCTGCGGAGACCCTGCAGGGAGGGCAGCAGGGCAGGGACCCGAAGCCCACCGTGGGCAGCCTGCCCCAGCCATGTGCACAATCTAGGGAGCCTGTGCCCCCCACTCCTGCTTGGGAGTGCATGCAGCAGTGGGGAGCCAGCTCTTCTCTCCCCACCCCTGGGACCCTATGCATTGCCCCAGCTGGGCAGCAGCCCCAGCCCTGCCCAACTCCCTCCCTCACTATGGAGGCCTTTAACCCCCAACCTCCCCAATTTACCTGTGACAGCTGTTCTCCAGGCTGCCTGACAGCCATGTGCATGTGTACATGTGCACGTGCACATGGCACTCCCTGCCTGATCACCCTCCTCTCAGTTACCCCATCCCCTTGCAGGCTGGAATGCTGCCGGCCTGCAAGGGGAAACCCACCGTTTCCTGCGTTTTTCTCCTTTAAAGGAGAAAATCTGGGTTTTTCTCCTTAAAGTGAGAAAACCTGCACTTCATCGTGTTTTTCCGTGGCAATCAGAAAACCCAGATCCCTACTAATAAGCTACAGCCCGCTTGTACATCTACAAAGGAAGTTTTAATAACTGAGTGCAAAGATTTTTTTTTCCCTTCATCATGAAAAAAGCAAGCAACATAAACAGGACAGAGAGAGAGAGAAGTGTTGTGTGAGCATGACTGTGTGT